TTTTTAGTACCTATTACAACTTGCTTTTCTGCCTTTTTGTACTTGAACAAATGTGAGGTCATTGCATCTCATCACTTCTCTAATCTCCATCACTTCTCTAATCTCTATATTCTCTAGAATCTCCACTTCTCTATTATCTCAAGATAATTTTTGTGATTTTATTAATCTCATTTAACAAGAGTGAGAACCTCAAATACTGGCATCTTTTCCTAAATATCTTTCACTTGTAATAACTAATATTTCATGAGAGTTTTCTTGCTTTTCAAGTTAATATAGCTAACCCTTACTGCAGAGCCTGAATTCATTTCATGTATTTATTTTAGTAAGTAGGTCCTTGTTAGCACTTGCACAGTGTAACTGCTGTCAGATAGACACTGTCTGGTGGCTAATAAGCAGAGGTATCATTTCCAATTAAAAACGAGTATAAAAAGTTATCTTTCAGTGACCTTGGTGTAAGGGGATTGAGTCAGGGAATACTGAAGCAAACTGGAAATCCATATGTCTGTAGGTCCTGATGGAATGCACCCACGAGGGCTGAGGGAGCTAGCAGATGTCATTGCAAGGCAGCTTTTGATAAACTTTGATTTATGGTGGCAACTGGGAGAAATGCCCAAAAGCTGAAGGAAAACAAATGTGACCCCCATTTTCAGGAAGGACAAGAAGAAGAACCTATGGAACTACAGGCTACTCTACCTCACTCTCATTTGTGCCCATCAACTCTTGTCACAGGAGACAGCTGAAAAGAGCCTGGTTCCATCCTTTTCATACGCCCTGCTCAATATGGCATAAAAAAATCTTAATTTTTCTGCTCTCTGTACTGACTGTGGAAGATTTGCCATATTGAAAGCTTTCCTTAAACTTGTGTTTTCTGGGCATAATTTTTATGTGGTGCCCAGTTCTTGATCTCTTCCCTTGTGATCCTGGTTTTGTCCAATGTTACTGGATCAGACAAAGCCATGGTCTGTCCTAATATAACTTACAGATAGAGAGGATCCTCATACAAAAGATCTTAGCATAAGTGAATACCCTTAAACCAGAAACGGGTTGGTCTTGACCCCTGGTCAGCACTCAGGAGTCAGAAAAGAACTTTCTCTCTGCCCAGTAAGCCATAACCAGAACCTTCTACAGAGATAAGACATTAAGAGCAGCTCTACAAGAAAAGTAAGCAGACCTGTAGCCACCCAAATACAGCAGCTTTTTTCTACTCCCTGCAATTCCCAGCCACATACACCTCTAGATTCCTACAAATATTCACATAGGTAATTAGTTAAATGTGCACAACTTCTGTTTCCAAATGTATCACCTCTGTCTTTTCCTTCTCTAGTTTGAACGAAGAAACTTCAATTTCCTATCAAAATACACTGATGTCACATCCAAAGACACATTTTGGGTGGGACCTTTCAGTCATGTCCATTCAAAAATATAAGTTTCTGGCTGTGAAATTTAGGCATCATTCAGGCACTACTGAACTTAGCCTGAGACAGTTCTTAACACGATGAAAACTGAATTCTAGCTGCCTACAAAACTCCTCAGTCAAAGGGGGAGATCCCAAGAAGTTGTGCAGCAACCTCAGTCATCTGAGACTTGACTTTGCAGTCCTGATGCAGATATACACACCTCCTGCTCAATCTAGCTTTTGGAAATCCCACTGCAGGAGGAAGGAATCTGGGTGGTAATGAGGATCCTGGTGCTCAGACAGTGATCTGAAGCCTGGGAATGATGTTTATCAGAAAGCAAGGATCTGTTTTTCCTCACCACTACAATCCAAACCTACTGGTTTAAAATTCCATCTCTCATACAAGCAACAATAAATAAGAACAAGCCCTTGCCAAAAGAGACAGAGAGAAGCACTTCCTACAGGACTGGCAAAGTCTGTGAAATGCAGAGCTGTAAGTAAATCATCTCACTCCAGTCACAGGCCTGTATCCAGCAGAATAATTCAACACAAATTCCTTGGTGATTTATGCACCACAAGTAAAACCCCTCTGCTTTGCAATAAACAATGGCTGGAGCACTTGGGTAAGGCCTTTGATGAGAGGTTCCAGTGAGGGGAGGGAAAACTTCCTACAACTCAGCTGAAAAGAGCTGCCCTACCATCAAACTCCTAAAATGCAAACCATTTTCATGGATCCATGAAAATAAAGGCCATTCATAAATAAACTGGAGTTGTGGGGGGTAATGAGATCATGGAAAGGGAAAAGAGATATAATTATGGGGAAAATGTTGATTTTTCACAAGCTCAGACTCTGGTCCAGAGTCCCACATGCTTCTGGGCCCCTCCAGGAAGCTCTCTGCTGTAAAATCTGGCAGGAGGGACATCAAGGATGAGTGTATGCTGGCACAGCACTTCCCCCTGCACCTAGAGCTTTAATGATGACAAACTGCAAGCTGGACTGATTTCACGTTGGGAAGGAATCTTCACTATAGAGATTCTTGGAACTATAAAAAGATGTTGTTCTCAAAATGCAGTAGGGTAACAGCAGAAGATATGCACTGTATTACTTGAACAATCTGCTTATATATTTCCTTAAAGTTTTAAAGTGAAATTGTTCTGCTTTAGAATAGAAATAAGTAATATGCAGTGTGTTCTTATTTGGTGAAACCTTACTTACTCACAGCTGCATTTCCTTGCCAAAAATACTTGTTTCTTCTTACAGCCCAAAGCAGTCCACAAAGCCAGAGAAGGATGTTTTTACAGATTAAGGGACAGGAGTAAATGGAATTGTTGGTGAATATTATAATGGTCCTTTATTTCCTTTTGTTATGAAGAACTTCAAAATTTTCCAAGACTGACTGTGCAGTTAAATTCCCTGAGGATTACAGACTTTAGAAGAGAATCCCCAGTCTGTACCAAGAGTGAGTATAACAAATATGTGGTTCCTGTCTTTGGTGTAAATCATCTGGGAAATGGCAACAACTGTGTGGTCAGAGAGAAGGTCCTGAAGCACCAAGAATAACCTATAATAATTCTACAGTGCCACATCTAATCTTCCAGCATAGACACTTGAGTTAAAGAATGACCTTCAGTTGGCATTCCTACTGAATAAGAGCGAAACAGTAATAGTTAAATATATGTTGCATGCTGTATTTAAAAATTAGCAGGGCACTTATTGAAAACAGCGGGCAGGAAAGCCTGTAAGTAAAAAGGAAGTTGCTTCATCTGTCCATCAAAGCCTGAATTTAAACTTAAGTTACACCAGAAAAAAAAAAAAAAAAAAAAAAAAAAAAAAAGTTGAGTATAATCTAAGTAGTCTAAGAAAGGAGGGTCACAGTAAATAATCAAATAGCACAAATGTGACTGATGTCTGCTAAGGGAAAAAGTATCCACATCAAGGCTGAGCTCAGATACCCCCATGGCACAAAAGTGAAGAAATCCACTTCACCAGCAGAAAGAGAGGGGTGGCCATTCTCCAGGTACATCTACACTAAAGCTCTAACATTACCCAGGGAAAAAAACCACATTTATTTTAGTGGTAATAGTCAAACTTGCAGTCAAGCGAAATATGGAAGATAAAAGCAAGAAAAGTCATCTCTGAGAACAGACAATCAATTGCACATGTTTGGTCTTCTTTATGTTTCTCACAGAAGTTTAAACCATAGGATTTCTATGAAATCATATCAGTACAGTGAAACATTATAATGGAGACAGCAAAATACAAATTAAGATGGAGTGTAAGCAGATGTACCTCTATTTTTAACTCAGCTGAGCTGTCAGGTCTGCTAAAACTCAAGAATTCCTCTAGCCAGTGACAGTTTAGTTTAACACTGGTAATATTTACCAACAACACAGCAGGGTGCTGTAATCTCATTCTGAGTTCACCTGTTCCACTCAGGAGCTTGTCCACAGTAACTGCCATAAAAAAGGTACATAAATTTTGCACAAAACTTTTGAAGCAAAAAAGGAGGAAATTTCAAAGCCTTGCAGAACCATAGTAGGATTTGATGGCCTCACTTCCACCTGCCATTTTGCAACATCTTGCAACATCTTGCTCCCAATAAGGAGTAATTCCTCTCACATTAAAAGTTAGTGCTTTACTCTTTGAAAAACTACGTGCAGTACTTCAGCTTTAGCTCAAAATAGAAAAAAATATTTTACAAAGCTTATTTGCTATCCATTTTACCAACAGCAGCTTTTGCAGGCAATCACATAGGGGTAGATCATATAATGAAAATGGTTAGAGTTTGATTACTCAAAAGACAAATGGTAACAACTGTCATCTTTCTTATACTACAAACTATTTTAAAACAGATATTTGTTGAAGGTTTTTCTTCCTATTTCTTAATATCTTCATTCATTTCTTCCTAAGTAGACATCTTATAAAAGAATATTTCTAGTCAGCTGTTTACTCAATTTTTTTTTTCATTACTTGGTGCTTATAGTACAAACAAAATATGATACAACAAAAATTGTTTTGCCTTTCTTTTAATTACTGTGGTAAATCCATAAAAATCATGACTGGTTTGTTTTGTCTTATTTTAGAGCCAACTTCTTCCATGTTTGTAAAGATAAAATTTATAAATATACAAAAAAATACCCCACTGGGAACACATGTGGATGTGTTCAGATGAATAAAACTTGTAAAATCAGGGGTAAAAAAATCAAATCAATCTCAAAACTGTCAAATACTTTCACACTGATTCATGATATGAATACCATCTTCTGATTATTTGCCAGATTTTGTAACCATACCCTCCAATAAAAATTCACCAATGTAAATGGCAATTCCTCTCCTTTGAACAAGTCAATACCTAAAAGACCCCAAAAAGAAGTATGACATTCTTCCAGGAATAAGCACTATCCAAACGCATAGGTAACAATGGGGGTTAAATGGATTTTTGTTATAGTAAATTATTATCAGAGCCACAAAAAAAAGCAGTGGGGATATTATTTTCGGTGTTCTGATCAATCCAAGGTTTCATTTGCTGAAGTAAGTGGAAATGAATTAATCTGCATCACCTCAGTACCAGGTCCCTTGGTGTTTTATGCAAGTCCACATTACCTTATGAGATCAATAGGCTGAAACTTGTAAAACACTCCATATCTTGCCCATTCTTGATACAGCAGCTAAAGAAAGAAAAGAAAAGAAAAGAAAGAAAGAAAGAAAGAAAGAAAGAAAGAAAGAAAGAAAGAAAGAAAGAAAGAAAGAAAGAAAGAAAGAAAGAAAGAAAGAGAAAGAAAGAAAGAAAGAAAGAAAGAGAAAGAAAGAAAGAAAGAAAGAGAAAGAAAGAAAGAAAGAAAGAGAAAGAAAGAAAAAAAAACAGTCTGAGAATTAAATTGAAAAAAGTTATCACTTATGTTTTCACAAAAATCATCTAAGAGCTAAAAATATTTGCTGCACTCCTGGGGCTGATAAACCCAGTAGAACCCATACAAAACCCACTTGTGTTCCCATGCTGGGGACATAACACAAGGCCACATATGCTGCTGGACATGCAGATTCCCCCCCCCAGCTTACAGAGAGCTCAAAGGAAGGACCAGATTCTACAGAAACTTTTTGCAGTGGGAGGAATCCAGCTGGATTAGGAGCGGGGATAAAAGGAAACCTTGCAAGACTTGGGGTAGATTGACCACAACACACTCAACTGCAACAGGCAAAGAACTTGGGATAGACTTGCTTATTCCCTCTATGATTCCCATGGTTTATGGGACACAACTTCACTGAAGAGGATTGTCCAGGCTGCCATAAGGGTATTTTCATATGAATGTTTGTTCTTGCTTGTTCAAAAACACCCCTTGCCATTACCCCCAAGCATTACCTATAAAATGTTATTTATTTTCATAAATAATCATACTAATAAATACATTCATTCACATATATAAAAGAAGAAAGTTAAAACTATTACGATCCTAAAACTCCCCAAAGACTTCCTTGAACACAGCTACAGAATGGAATTTGAAGAGCAAAAAGAAAACTCTGTCTAAAATAGCATTCCATTTAGGAACAGGTACTTTCTGTAAGTTTATAGGAATTTTCTGATCTGCTTCTAATAATAGGGATGCTGCTCTAGTATATGATGACAGTGGAATTCCCAGGTGGGTTACAAAGCCCTAATGGACTTTTTTAATGTCAAACATAGAGACAGCAATGAAGGGTTAAAAGTTGCCAGTGGGCCAGAAACTTAAAGACTAAACCAGTGTTAATACTTATGGTGAGTTATTACCATTCTGCTGCTCAATACCATTCTTAAAAAGACTTTTTTTTTTTAGAGCAGAAATCACACTGAAACTGGGAAATTCCTTTAGTCTTAGAAAAAACTGAAACCCTCTCAGTTTAAGGTTTCCATAGCAGATTTCTAATTCTTGTAGGATGGGACAAAAGTGTTGTGTCAATGTTCATTTTCTCCAAGGAAATCCTGAATAAGGTTGATAAGGATTAACCTTTTATGCTATAAACTGGTAGATAAACCTTAATTACTTGTGCTGCCTTATTGGCTTAAGTACTCCATAAGTACTGAGTTCATATTTGGGGTTTTTACAAGAGAAAGTTGAATTCAAAGATACAGATAAGTTAAAGAGGGCAAAATAAAAGAGGGTAGAAGAAAAAAAAAGTTTAAAAATGCCCTCCTTTCTTTTAAACCTGATCAGGGTTCTTCAGGAAATTAAACACTGAGACTATTAGATTCAGATAGAAAACAGATGATGTTATGCATAGGAATACTACAGAAGATTCAAGGCCTAGGCGGAAGGGACATATGTGAATAATCAATGAAGTATTTCTGGAAAGAAGCTTTTATGTTTTTAATACTTAACACTTCATAACTGAGCCTAATAAGCAGAATAAAAAGAGGGCAGCACAAAATACAACTAGTAGAGGGAATATTTTTCCAGATACAGGTCCTTCTGGGCCCTCTTCCCCCCCATTCCACAGTACCCAATTTTCCTCCATTGACTGATGTTCATTTAGTGTTTTCCTCTAAAATATTTGTTTTCCAAAATATCTGTTTTCAGTAATCTGTGGAGCTGCCTCGCAGAAAAAATTCTCCAAGTCCAGAGGAGACAATGCTTTCATGAACCAAAAGTTCAAAGTAACAGACACAAATAAACAAGCTTCTTTTATAGTTTGTTTTCTAACTTTGTTTTGCTTACCAAGGTTCATACACTAAATTAAATTGTATATGGCCCATGAAGACATCTAGCGGCTGAATGGCAACATTATTTACCAAAAACTACAAAGATTATGTTTTCAAATTTTACTAATTCAGCATTGGAGAAATCAGATTTATTTGTTCATTTTTATGAACTCATTCTTCATGGTATAGTAAATATTGGAGGTTTCCAAACATTCCCTTTTTCTTCATTCTGCCTTCTTCCCTTTCTCTCCCTTTATCTTCCCTTTGCATTTCCTATCCCACTGTTTGCTTATCAAGGAAAAGAAAATGAGCAAACATAAAATAATATGGAAAGGATCTTAATAGATTACTTATTAGTAATCTATCAAACTAAATTAATTCTTTATTAGTAATTAAATTGTTTTTTCTCATTTCTAAAAGTAAGCATATATATTAAACCGAGTTTGAATTCACACTGTTTATTTTGAGGATTGCTCTATTTTTGAATGTCTTTTGATAGCTAGAAACTTTAATTACAAAATAATTAGAACCAGATTTTTAGAAATTGCCTGCATTTATTTGAGTGCACAATCAAATGAAAAGTACAACTATATTTTATTTTAGTAACCACAGCTCTCTAGGAGCATTTAGTTAGGAAAATAAAATTATTACATGGGTTAGTTAATAATTTTAGCTTCCTGACAGGCTGAAAATCATGTATATGTATGCAGACGGAATCTGGAAGCATTTCAAGATGCAAGTTTCAAATTAAATTAACTGACATGCTTTATAAGAAGACATTATAAAAATCTTGGGAAAACATTTTAAAATATAGAAATAAAGGGAAATATGTAATTCAAAAAGTGCATACATTTGTTAAAATATCTACTTGTTTGGCTAATACTTTACAACGCTTTAGAACATCATTTATTACATTAAATATGATATGAAATCAATTTTGCTATGTATTTTACCTTTCTTTCATTCATGTCATCATTTTGGCCTTCATATTCACCCTGGAGAAAGAAAATAATCTAAAAACTGATGTAAAAGCAGAAAAAAACAAAGCAAAGTTTGGTTACTTGTTCCTACATTGTTAATTTTATTTTCAGGTCACAACTTGAAATCTACTTATATAGGAGTTTTCATATTAGAATCACACTTAAAAGAGATTTTCAGTGTCACAGACAGCAAATAAGAATGTGAATGGATGTCTCCTAAGTGACACCAGCAGAGGACTGGATTTTTTCATAGTGCATACATACATCATGAAGTGGGTAGGCTGCATCATAAACATTGTTTGCTATTAACGTGCCAATGCCTAAAAGAAAAAGAAAAATGCAGGTGGTAAACAGGCACGATTTAACAGAAAGCATTATTACAGATTTCATTTCATAACATTCCAGAGGGGACAGAGCTGCGTAACTGACAATATTGAGTGAGAAGAGAGCCACATAGGGTTTCTGGCTGTGGAAAACATTTTTCAGAGAAACTCACTTCCATAAAGTGCTTTTTCTTCAGTGAACAGCACAGTGCAAAGACTCTTCTGATCACTTTCTCATCCTGACAGCAAAGAGCCACATGACTGAGAAGCAAAGCATTGAGAAGTCCTTCTTGAATCTTTACAATGGCCAGAACTACAGATTCCACTAGCCAACAATTAAAAACAACCCCCACAAAACCTTCCACAGAAGTTTGTGGTTATGAAATCGTAGAATGGTTCGGTTGGCAGGACCTTAAAGATCCATCAGTCCCTTCCCCCTAGGCACACCTTCCACTATCCCAGGTTGCTTAAAGCCCCATCCAGCCTGGCCATGGGCACTTCAGGGAATTTAGTTTTGCAAGAGAATTCCCAGCAGTGACTGCAGCACCTGTAGAGAGACACAAGATCCCTACTGGCTCTCAAGACCTGCAACTCTTACAGCAATTCCATCTTCAGCCCTGGAACAATTGTTCCATAAAAAGGCAACCAAAGATTAGTAGTTTCTGATTATTAGTTATACAGAAAAACATAGATCTGTAAATTTATTCCAGGCTTCTCTGCTTTCAATGCCCAGAAAAACAAGTAACTAGCTATCATGTCTTCAGTGATGAAAAACATTCCATTGTCAAATTACACATTGTCCTGAAATATTTGGGAGCAACCTTCTGGCCAGAGATGCTAGACAGGCAGTACCAATAAATGTCTCCCTTGACAGAAGGACAAGTACAACTACATGCATTCATAGAATCAGGAAATTATGCTTCAATAGTGACAAGCCTTCTCCTGAAAACATTCAGTGTTTGGAAGTTTACAGTTACTCAGAGTTATGCTAGAAGAAAATAAGCCTTCCTTGTTTAATATCATAAGAGCAGAATCAGGTTCAGCCTTACACAGATGTAAAAAATCCATAATCAAATGTGTTTGGAAGTATTGTTAATTTCATAAAACAGGTCTATAAAACCAGACTGCTATAAGCACTTCCAACATCACTTTCCTGCCTCTTGTGCAAAATAAGGAATGAACTCTAATAACAAAACAAAAAAAAATTTAAAAATCTTTTAAGCCTCTACTGATGAGTGGTTTTAAGCTTAAGACTAGTGAGATGGGAAAGCCTTAGTGACATATGAAACAGAGGTCTTTTGGGGGAGGATCTCAGAAGATCAAAGGAGTAAGTGAGTTTAGGTCAAACATGATGCACAATCCTGTTTTGGCTACAGACCATAAAGATGGAAAGGATGGGAATGCTAAAATAGTTCTTTCATGTCAAATGAGTTCTTGAGCTGACCTGAGCTTGAAGTGCATCAGGCTGTATTTTCATGCTATAGTTAAAAAATTCCTGAGAAATTATTACTAGTCCTTTGATCTCTAATTATGTGTTTTATTCCACTATAAACCAGAACAAGCTATTAAAGTAAAGAAAACCTTAAGAGGCAAATATCTCCATTGTCAAAGTGCTCTGTCCCTTCCTACTCTGTCCTTGAGCTTCTCTCCAGTTTTCTCTGCAGAAAATTCCGAAGTCTCCAGCAGGGTTCCCAGCACTCCAGAAAAATAAGGCAGCATTCCCCTCTATTGCCCCATTAGAGGCTTTTGAGCAGATCAAAACATAGAACACCACCAAATAAACAGTTTAAAAAGCAACAACTGCCAAAAAATGTTTTAGAAATTGAGAATGCCTGACATTTTTAAAATCATATTTTAATATTTTTTTAAAGGAAACAGTGTGGCAGTCATAAATTTAAAAGTTTATACTGGAAAAAGGGAAGTGGTTTTGGTTGAAAAAGAAAAAGCATTTTTTGTGCCTTTCATTTTGTTATGCTTTTTATGTAATTAAAACAAAATCTATCTCCTGTTCAAGGAAACCTAAATTAATCTATTTTCCTGTACCAGAAATGTGTGTTATTGGAGCTGCCCTGCCCAAAATCACACCAGGACTGTGCAGAATCTTGCTGCAGCATTTTATTTGCCAGGAATTACCCTTGGACACTGTGATCTGTCCATAGGTAGCCAAGTTTACAGAAAGATTTCTAGAAAATATGTCAGGGAGGACAATCACTTCTTTTCCACATGTGCCATGATCTCACAAAGGGTGAGAGAGAAGAGTACAGAAAAGAGAATATGTACACCTGTATAAATTCTGAACTTCAAGAGAATTAAATACATTCTGAACGTCAAGTTCCAAGTATTTCAGCATTATCCCAAAAGTATCTTCAAAACAGTCATATTTAGTCATATATTTCACTAGGCAGCTCAGGGAGGTACTTTTTGAGGCTGAAGCAATAAAAATAACCTGGAAAGGTGAATTATTCCATTGAAATGGCAAGAAAAATATGGTCCTGCAAGAAATAATACAACATATTGCAGTTGACATCTGAATTTTCCAAAGCAGATCATAGAGTAATCAAATCCAATTTTATAATGATTCATTAAATGTGAGTAATGTGCCAGATGCTGCACCTGTAGAAATGAAAAGTCAGCTCCCATTACCATCCAAACCATGGACTATAAATTCTGATTATATGCCTTAAAAAAAAAAAAAAAATTCAATCTCTAGTTTTTTTTTCTTTTGGGAAGATGTGCCAGCATATTTTGTGTCCTGCTAGAAAAAACAATATTCTGTGAAATACCTACAAAATTCCTTTCAAAAGAACACCTCTAATTCTCTTTCCTTCGCCTTACCCATGCTGTTTCTGGCCTTCGTAAATGTGCGCTTCAAAATTTCCCTCACCTGCAAAAAAGAACAGTGGGATAACAAACAGATCCTTTTTAGCATGAATTTCATAATGGAATTAGCAATAAAACAAAGTTCTAAAATAGGTGGCTTCTGCAGTGTTCATTGTTCAAATATTTAAATCATTTAGCAGATTTTATGACTGGATTATCTGCCCAGTATTTGTGGGCTAAAGCCTGCTGTGTTATGTCCTTATAGAAGTATTTGAAGTAGTAGAACTATATGGCAGGAAATCTAGTTAAAGATTAGGAGTAGGGCCAAAAAGAGCTTTGAACACTGAAGAGAAGTCAATAGCTTCCCTGCAGAGCACTTCCCACTCCTGCAGCTCCAGAAAGGAAGTCCTTATACACATATATGTCAGGAATTATAGTTCAGCAAGAATACACAAATGCATAAATTAATGAAAACAGCAAAGCTGAAACTAAAACATTCCCTGTAAATCCCATTCTAAACTCCACTAGCAAATCCCACTCAGGACAAGAAGACAAGGATATGTTATTTTTACTTACTATTCGGCTGCGGGTTGCATTGTCAAAAAAGGTATCTTTGTCTTTGATGTTATACCTAAAACATTGAGGAAAAAGAAAATCAGCTCTGTTTTAAGACATGGAAGCAATACGTAAGACAACAGATAAGATTCTAATTTAGAAGTCACTCAGAAACCACAGCTAATCAAAAAAGCAGATGTTTAAAGGGAATATAGATTACACAGCACAGCATAACAGAATGTGCTATGTAAGACCCAATCATTCAGAGCTCTACCAGGCTTGCACTGATGGTGGGCATTTATATGCAAAATTATTAGCTAATGTAGAATGCCTTTTGAGGAAGAAGAACCTGTATTGTTTACAGAAGATGACCTTTTTAATATTTTTCTTATAACATCTCCTCAACACAATAACATACTGAGGTTGTGTTAGTAGGTTTCAAGCAGCTCTTTTCCTGGCCACTAAACAGTCAATATTTCACTTGATTTCAAGTAACTATTCCACCACAATTTTGCCTTCCCTTAAACCTCAAAATCATCATATGTGAAATTAGCTTCCCAGTATATTCTTCTCCATCAACCATCAATTCTCCTCCATCTGACTTATATTCAGAATTAATTAAAATTGTCAGAGGGCAATAAATGAAATGGTGGGTCACTGTATTTATTACTGAATTTTATTTATCTGACATAAATACAAGGAGACACCCAGGAGGAAAATCATAGTGTTTCATGTCAAACTGGGCCCAGAAATATTATTTTGAGTGAAAGAGCTGACGTCAAGTACTCCTTATCTGCATATTATTAACTTAGTTTTAATTGCTACAATGAATCTATCAAGATGGAAAATACTGCTGTATTTCTACTAGTTCCTGCTTTTTTCAAAAGAGGCAGTAATATCCTTAACCAAATAATCAGGAATTTGTCGGGAGGATTTCTACATTTCAAGCTAAACATGCAGAAATTTATTTGATGCACTGCTTCCAGTGCCTTATCCTACAGAAGTAAGAGGAACACTGGCAGAAAGTCTCTGCAGCTTGTATTTTTGTTAATCCACAGAAAAACTGACAATTTTGGATGTTCTCTTAGGATTTCCAGATACGCTTGATGAACTTCTGAATTTTGACTGAAATGTGGGAAAAAGAAATAACAACTCTAAGATTATACATTCCAGCTGTCTTTCACTGTCCATTGTCACTGTTGAGTAAGAGATGACACAGACTCACCAGAAGGCTGGTTTGCACAGCAGCAGCTTTAACACGAAAATTCTCTCTTTTTATAGACTGATCCAATATATTTCACCTGATTGGCTAATTAATAAAAACACCTTTCTTTGAGAAAAACAGGAAAACAGAGAGTAGGAAAACACCACCTGCAGGATGTTTATAATAACAAGCTATCATTATTTCTCTACAACTCCCTAAAATTTTCATGTGTCCACTGTGAGAAAACTTATCCGGTTTTCCCACTCTCTGACCAGGCTGTCATATCCACAGTCCATCACATTTTAAAGTACTCACAAATATATTTTCTCTCTGGAAAATGGGTAGGACAAGGTTTTCATCTTGGTATTTTCTTGCTGTGGCACCTGGGGTTGCAGAGGTTCAGTCAATTTGCACCATATTTCATTTAATGTTTTGAGTATTCCCTTTTCTTCTGTGATTTCATACATCTGAAGAAAAAAAATTGTACATTAGTATGCCCCTTCCAAAATTATACAAAAATAAAGAAAGAAAAAAAAAATTGCTGTATACGAATGTTTAAACCTGTAATTAAAAGAAGTGCCTTCTCTGAAGACATATTCCCATATGACTATATGCACCTGAATCCATATGGGTTGCAGTTCCAAAAAGTTCTTGTACCTCACCAGCTAATTCCAGGAAAAAAAATCCTTAGAGCAGAATTATTAATACAAGAAAAAAGAAAACCAGTTCTTCACACAGAGCTCCAGGTATGTGCTCCTCTCACAGTTAAACCACCTGTCCAGAAGGATAATACTAAAATATAATAATATTAAAAAATTTACTAAAATCCAGGGGAAAAAAACTAGCTACATCTACTACCTTCCTCTCAACCACTAGGCAGGAAACCTTATAGTAGAAGGATATAGAATTAGTTAGCCAGGACTTTTCCTTTGTGAAACCTTGTTGTCTGTGCCTGAGGAATGCTTTGTCCTTCAAATACCTTTCTGCTGCACATGGTATGACTCTCTCCATAATTATTCCAAGTCCTGAGGTTGGAATATTAGGGATCTCATTTCCTGGCTCTTCCCTTGTTTAAATTGTAGTAATACCAAGTAGTTCACATTCAGCAAGTCCCAAGTCCTTTGGGAGTGGATTGAATGGGTCCTGCTAATTCCTTCAGTACTGTGGGATCAATTCACAAGGCCCCATGGACTTCTAGACATCTAGTGGATACTGATGCTCCCTTAAAAATTCAGCAGCCACAAATGGAAAGCCACAAACTGTTCCCACAGCTGCAGTTCTCTGCCTCCGGATCAGGCAGTCCAAGACAATTAATATTAAAGGCTGAGGCAAAAAAAGCATTGAAGGCCCTCTTTTTTCATTATTTCTATTTGTCAGGTGACCATTTTCAACAAGGATTGCTCCAATATTTTCCTCACACCTTCTCTTGTTATTAACATACTTTAAAAAGTGATCTAATTGTGTGGCACAATACAGGCCAGTTTGAGCTCTAGATGAGTTTTGGCCTTTTGTGTTTTCTCCCTGAATATGCGAACCACAGCTTTGTAAACTTCCTGTGAGGCCTGGCCTTGCTGCTAGAGATGCAAAATTGCTTTTTCTTCTCAAGCTGCACGAGGAATTCCCTGTTCAATCAAGCACTCATGGAGCACTCAAAAGCAGATTCCCAGGGAGCAGTGCTGAGTAGCTCCCTGGGTGGTTTTGAGTTTACTTTCTTGAAACCTAGAGCAACACTTCTGCTGACCTTTTTTGTTCTCATTAGACTGAATATTTTAAATTCAGCCATTTTATGGTTGCCATAGCTAAGGCAGCCTCCTATTATCACATATGCCATATGTCCTTCTCTGTTTACAAGTATCCAGTCTGGGAGACCATTTTTCCTAATTGGCTCACTGAATCCTTGTATTATCTTCAAAGTATCTGCAAAGTATTATCTTCAACACCCTTCAGGAATTTCTCAGACTTGCTTGTCACAGCACTCCCAATTAATGTTTGGGAAGTGACCATTTCCCACAAGCACAAGAAGTGTCTCCTGCTTGCCTATGGAATGATTCATCAGTCCTACAGAACACTCAATGACATCTGCCTTGTTTTCCATCCCCCTAACCCTCACACAGAAGATGTCAGCTTTATAATCCCTTAACTGCAGCTATTCCCTTCCATACAGGACAACTCCTCCACCTCTCCATCTCTGCCTATCACTCCTGAACAGCCTTTACTTCCCTATCCCAGAACTCCAGTCACAGGATTCAATCCCCCAAGACTCACTAAAGCCAGAGACATCACAGCTCTGGCCACAGAGCAGCCCTCCCAGTTGTTCCTATTTTTACCCATACTCATATTTGAGTCTGGCACAGTCTCACACACCAAAATAGCTCTGTTATCATATCCAGAAGTTTATATATAGTTAAAAGGGCTCAGAGGGTATCTTTGCCCAGCATGCCTTCTATTCTGAAAGATTATTTAAAACAGAATGCTTTGGGAACAAATATTTGTAACCAATTCGTGTTTAGAGGTGGATTAATACTTTCCCCTGAAAATACCTTTTTTGAATAGTTTAGTATGATCCTTAAATAAATAAATAAAAATAGCATCACAGAAAATTCCTAAGGTGCCTTGACAGCAATATTTCGTATCTTTGAACAAAACCAGAACTTTCCTTTTGGTGGTTACTGAATGAATTTTTTTACTTTATATGGCCAAATCCCCAAAATACAAGATTTCATTTTTTTCAAAGTGGACTTCTTTTCTTTCAAAGGAAATTCCTCTTTCAACTGTTTTTAATTTCAAAAACCACCCAAACCCTAGGATATGAATAGAGCTTTTCTGTCAAGCTTGTTTCTGGGAATGCTGCCATTTCTGCATCTAGAGATAACAGAGGATTTTTTTATTTTTGGAGATAATAGAAGATTTTTTTCTCCCAATCAGAGGAGAGAGGAGGGATGCAGAACTGCTGTGAATGAGGAGGGTGCCATCAGAGATTATCAGCTCCTGGATAGCCCTTAACCAGGTCAAAATGATGACAATACTCATCAATTAAAATAGTGTAAAATTTACTTTGGTGCATCTGCAAGAAACTTGGATGAGAAAATTCCCATAAGAGCAGAAGGAGGGAGAAATAAGTAGGCACTAAAAATGCATAAAATGAATTCATTTTGGAAGAGATCGAAGAGAGGAGGTGAATATGTAGAAAGTCTCTAGGAGTACTGTAGCTAAAACCTACTCATTTTCAAAGACTGATTGGCAATACCTTTTTTTTTTTTCCCTGGGATGCAAGCACATTGAGAGTATGCAAGATTGATTTGGGCATTCTTCTGATAATGACATGTTGTACCAGCATGAAACATGAACCAGAATGAAGCTTTTGGTGGGTGAAAACAAGATGAAAAACTCAAAGATCAACACAGTTGGAGAGAAAAAAACCCAGTTTTTCCTTTATTTCTAATGGCAATGCAAAGAAATAAATGTTCTTTAGTGCAGTTGATGAGTATCACTAACTAAAAGCACAAGACAGTTCCCCTGACTCTGATGGAATTGTTAACCAATGGACTAAATAATTTCAGGAACACAGATTGTGGACTTTGCTACTTGGAATTTACAAGGTTTGCCAGCAACTCTTCTGAAAACAGACAGAAAAGAAGAGTTTGCTGAAGTTTTAGAGACAACAGGCACATCTGAATTCACGAAGTCATTGATACCACCAAAACAGATTCTCTGGGAAGAGCCTCTCTCTCTTTGGAAAAGTCTTAAGATGGTGACCAGTTTCATACTACCTTCTACACTACCCCTCACCTTTCAGAGAATTTCCTTGACAAAAATCCAGACATCTCCTGCCTTCTCAGCTTTCAAGGCCCTCCTTAACACTCATCTCTGTCATCACCCTCCTGAATGCAGTCGCTGCCTCTGTGGCCTTTAAAAACCCTTTGGAAATCCCCTCTTAAAAATAGCTCTGAACAGTAAATCATGTGAAAAGATTTGGAAATGTGAAAAAATAAGTCTGACAGTTCGTTTTCTCTGATTTTTGAAAAAAAGGAACTCCATGGGCTTCTATATATTCAATGATGATTCTGATCCCTCAATCATAAAACATATTGATAGAAAATGGGAGATATTTACCTTTTTAGTGGGCATTTTTATTTTAAGGAGTTCTGCTTCTCGACTGAGGACTTGCCAAGGTGCGTGTATACGGACAAAACTAACTCCTTGGCTCTTGTTCTGAAACATAAAAAAAAGGGGAAAAATGTCTTTAAATATTCTTGAATACAATGTAGTGCTAATATCTCAAGTTGTCAGCTCCAACAAAATCATTCAGCAGTAGGCAACAATCACAGAGAATAACCAACTTCTGCTACAGCAAAGTGACATATTCCTTAAAAGATGAATCTTTTATGCTCTAAAATCCATTAATCTACTGCCTGCAGTGTAGCTGTGTGTGCACCAGGATGACAGAAAGCTATAGGTCCAGATTTTGGAATTATGCAAATGAGAAACACCCAAGATACCGCTTTTTTTTGCACATTGATATTTGAGAAAGGATCTGATTTCTTTAGTGGGCTTTTGTGTCCATCTGAACCAACAAGATAAAATAAAATTCTCCTGCTCTGGGTGGACCTTGCTCTAGTTCTCATTTTCCATTCTGGCCAACTATTTTCCAGACACTTCACCAGATCAGTGGTTCCTTACAGGGAATCAGGCCCAACATTTGTTGCCCTAAATATCTGCAGTTAGAATAGCGAACCTAAAAGAAAACATAAAAATTTAACTTCTGTAAGAGATATGACCCTCATGTTTATGTAAATTATTGGTTATGCTGGTCAGAAGCATAAAGTGCCCAAAAGTGCTTTGGCACTGCCATTTTTTTGCAATCCATGCAAAAGATGTCCTGGTAACACATCGGAGCTACAGAAAATAACCCTGAGAGCAGAAAGCAGCACCTCTGAGAAAAACATGAAAATTAAATGAAGGAAGGTTCAGACAGCATTTTCCTCAAGGCACACAAAGAAATTGTACCAGCAAATCACAGGGATAAATGCTTGCTGTGGAAATGTAGGGAAGAAAAGCTGGGAGGGAGATTAGAAAGTGAATATCAGAGAAATCAAGACAATGACCATCTCCCATACTGCACCTCCTCTTTGAGGGGATTTCCTTCACAAAAATCCAAACAGCTCCTGCCTTCTCAGATTTCAAAGCCCTCCTGAAAACTCTCCTCTGCCATCATCCTCCTGAACACAGACTGTCAGATGATATTCCTTAGAGAAAGGCATGGAAGTAGACACAAGATGACTTTCAGGAGGAATTTCTTCACTGAGAGGGTGGCTAGGCATTGGAAGGGGCTGCCCAGGGAGGTGGTGAATCCCTGGAGGTGTCCAAGGAATGACTGGATGTGGCAGTGCTCTTGGCTGGATGACAAAATGGTGACAGGTTGAAGGTTGGACTCAAAGATCTTGGGAGGTCTTTTCCAACCTCAGTGATCCTCTGATTCAAGGCTTCATTAAAGCCAAGATTAATGATCTTTGTGTGGCTGCTTCCATCTTTATGTAAACTCCAAATGTGTTTGCTGAATGTGTCCTTATGCTTCCTGACTAAAATTCAAAAATAAAAATTTAGATGGAAATCCTACGATTAGTGCAGTCACTTTGCTCTTATTTCCCCTATAGGTGCAACATGAATGATAAAAATCACTCCCTCACCTTCAGCTAACATTTCTTCAGTGGACTGATGCCATTTTAAAGAGCAGAAAGAGCTGCAGAATCTCTCTTCCATCAGTCCACTGGGGAAGTCAGCCTTAAGAGAAGGAAGGAAAAACTTACTAGGCATAAGCAGATGTTCTGGTAATCATTTGCTGAAAATATATTAATAACAGATGAGAGGTTACATTTCAGTGGGTGAAGATCAGGAGTTTCTTCTGAGCTTTTGGCTAAAATCAAGCACATGTCCCTGTCTGGGAGATTATATTCCATGTTGGCAAGACGAATGACAGTGTGATCTAATTGGTTGTTTCCACCTTGGGCTCATATGACTACACAGATTGCGAATAAAATTAGGCAAATAATTTGACTGAAGAGACCAGATGAAGAATATGACCCTTGTATATTTGAACAAAAAAAAATTGGAAAGTTGTGCTGTTCATGAAGTGATAGGAGATGATAAGGAATCAGACCATTACAAATCTTTTAAAAGATTTAAAATCACCCCATGATGGGAAATTGAGGTAATTTTAATAAACACTAATACAAAGTGAATAAAGTAGGGAAAACTGGACTAGGGGGCTCCTGCTGCATGGTAGTCAAAAGATGCAGAACATTGGACTGCTGGATATTCACCTTGGGATTACTAGAACCATACTCCCATATTTTCCTAACATACAAATTAATCAAAGAATTTTAAAATAAATGTGAAACCATCAATTTAATATCATAGCTCAAGAGACAAGCCATCTAGTTCATTTTCTATGGGCTCACCAAAATAAAAACCTATAGGACTACTCCTCTGGTTAGATTCCTTTCCCCACTTTTCCAGGTTTCACCTGCAGCAGTTCCAGGTGTCTTTAAATGCCCTTTTTTCCTTATGACATCTGGCAAGGATCTGCTCAATTAACTTATTCCCAGAGGGTTTCTCGTATTGCAAATATCTCCAAAAGTTAGAACTTGCTTTTCTCCTTGCCAGAGTGGATTTATAACTGTTTACTGGAGACACCTCTTAACTGCTGTCCTCTGATTAATCACCTGAAATGACAATTGTGCACATGCTCATCACTTTGATCTAATGAAATGCTGTCAGTCTTCTATTTTGAATGCTGAGAATCACTCCTGCTGATTCACTGTACTCTGGATGTGTCAGTAAAGCCAACATGTGGTGCTGGCTAACATTGGTTTTGTTAGACCATTCACTTGTAATTTAATACGGCCATCCTTAATCAAGTCCTTTTTCACTTGCAGCTGATGTCCCACAGGACTTTATCCTTGGGCCTGCATTGTTCCATGTCTCTATCACTGCACTCCCTGATTATATTATTTAAATTACAAAGTATTCCTAGGCAGATGACAGATTTGTTGCTTTCATGATGCCTTTTTTCCGCCTGTCAAATCTGTATTCCATATTACACACTTCTTCCAATAAGTTTCAAGAGGGGAAACTTTTTATTAAATTCACTCAGAATTATTCAAGATATATTTGTATCTTGGCTGCTTCCCTGTTTTCTGAAGCTGAATTTGGTTTTCCTGTTTCAATAGGAAAGCTCAGCATTAAAGTCAAATGGAAGAAAATCTGGAAGGTCTGCTTTGCTTTTCAATCAGCACATGAAGAAAAATGTATTGGGTATTTCTTTCAGTTTATCATGATTCTTAGTAGTCTAAAGCAGGGCTTTAACAGCAGCCTATATTGCATTTTTTCTGTCTTGGACTGAAAATGTATAGGCTGAAGAAAATTCAAATTTCTCCAATGGAGATTTTTCTATCTTTCCTGCCTTAACAGTAAAACAAACGAGGACCTGAATCAGCTGCAAGTCTAAGATTTATTGCAAATTTATCACCATCAAGGCCACAGCAGAAAAAAATGTATGACAAGTACAGAAGTTTTCATATAGATATATATAAAATGATTATTCTTTTTATTGAAAGCTGAACATTCTCAAACATGGCTAGACAAGCATAACTAAGCAAAACTAAATTTATTTAGGCACCTCCAATATGAGCTAAATCATACGGTACTAAAGACATCAAGTTTGTCAGTCACTATCAAGCCAAGAAAGGGCAAAACCAATGAATTGATTTTGGAAGAGCCCCGGGCTTTTTTCTTATTTTTTTTATGGTGAACACACTGTTCCTAGGAACTTTGCAAATACAGAATTCATTGCTGAATGCTACAGCTTAGAAAGTATTTCTTATCATTTCCTCATCATGAAATCACTAATCACTCCCTATTTAAGGAATACAGTTTATAAATCACTTACATATTAAATAAACAGTTATTTTTAAATACTAGTCCAAAGGAAAAAACATCTGCTATGTATCTTAACAGGAAGAAAAAGTAACACTAAAGGGTAGAAAGAAGCTGAAAATAAGTCATTAACTAATGTCTAAGGGAGTCCAGGGAACTGCCAATCTTTCTAATGATTTTTTTTAAATGTGCACAGGAAATGGAAAAGGCATAAATCATGTAAACTTATTGGGAAAAAACCCCAAATAACTGAATTTTAAATATTTTATTCTTCAGTGATTATTCAATGGACAGAAAAATACTTGGGAGCAATATTTTAATGGCTCCAGTTAATATAATGAAACAACACAGGAAAAGTGACAATGAAACAATTTGCAATGAGGAAAAGAAAAGACAGGTTCTATTAGCTCATTAAAAGTAATCGTCTTCTCATTAATTCCATCACCAAATGGATCCATCATGTCTACAAAGGCAATTGTTCAAAATTAACATCTGCTCTCCTGATACCAACCCTGGAAATTGAGGTAAATACCAAAGTGGTGTGATACTGCAAATAAAAAGCAATTTCTTGTTATTATCCCAGAACTGTGGTCACCTTCAATTCACAAGAGCAGAGCCAAGTGCTGACCTACTGGCCCCCAGCACGGGTAACACTCGATTGCATGACACAGCACTGCCAGATTCAGGCAGAGAGTGTAAAAGTGTCTGTGTTTTCTGCCAAATAGATTGAATCTGTTAAACAGTGTGTTTCTGTTTCCAGAGCTTTGTGTCCAAGATACAAAATCAGTCAGTGAGAGTGTGGGCCTGTTCCACTAGGAAAAGGAAGTGCAGGGCACTGGTCCAGGTGAGACAACAACACCCAGAATATCCTGACATGGACATCTCAGTCCAGAGCAACTCCCTGTTCTTGTTAGCTTATAGGAGAATCTGTATCTTATAATTGTAGCCTGTTTATTTAATTCTGCCTCTTAGTCTATGAAGACAATGGAACTTCCCTTTATCAAAATCCTTTTGTGAAGATAAATATGTTCCAGATTGAGAAATGCTCAAATAAGGCAATAAACTAATAAGACAGTATGGCTATATATAATGCATCCTATCATTTTCATATTTGCCTTCACAAAACCCTTTTACCCTTACCAAACTTTCCTCTTTCTTTTTCCATTACTTCTCCACAGTGTAGATTTACTTCAGTGTGTGGGTACACAGACGTGCTCAAGACCTTAAGCAAAGCTGCAAAATGCACACATTCTGACAGTTTACTTTTC